ATAGGGTCGATATTCCTCGTTTTGAAATCATCAACAAGCTTGATAATCAACAATCATCATTAATTCTCTCTCTTCTCTCTCTCAAGCTAGAAGCTTATTATTTCTCCCTCTTTCTAAACCTCCCCTTTTCAAAATACACAATACCTCCTTCACAAGTTCTAGACACACCTAGCCAAGTTCGAAGTTGTCTTTGCCCTCGATGTGAAAGGTTGATAATTTCTGAGGGTTTGGTCCCAAATCCCTATTTCAATTATTTAATTTAATTGTTTGATTTAATAATTTCCTTGAAGTTACTAACGTGTGTATTGTTTTGATAGAAAGAGATACGAGGCAACAAAGTAAGTTGTTTTACTGCTCTATATTTTGAAAAAGCATGCTTAAATTATATTAATTCCTAGTATCATGTTAGGATGCTTTTATTTCTTTCTAGTATCATGTTTAGGTTGCTTCCTATTTTCTTCTATCATGTTATTATCATAGTAGGGATAAAGCTTTGATCTTTATTGTTTAGTGACATGCTAGGATTTGGTATTAATCTTGTTAGTATCATGCCTAGGATCTTGCTAATATTATTGTGCTTTGAGAATATTATTTTGATGATGAAGAATTGTTGCTAATTATTATTATGTGGCTTGATATATTATTATTATTATTGCTTGATCACGCCCTCTCTTGCAGGTTTAAAGGGAATTTGTACTTGTAATCATGTTTAATAAGATAATTAATAATCTTGTTTAGGCTGATATTATTATAATTCAAGTGATCGCCAATTATAGTTTTATTTGTGCATTAATGTTCAGCCAACATAGATTAAACAGGTTTAGGATTAATATATTGATTGTATGTTAGTTAGAAAGCTCACATGAATATGAGAAGAATATAGTAGAGGCTTATTTTAAGGGCATGTTCAATTTCTTTTAGGTTGGATTTGTACCCTCATTCCCGAATATCCAGTCATTGTTCCAGACCACTATAGAGTTAGCAATCTCATGGATCGTGAAGGAGTGTAACCTTCACCCTGTGAACGGTTTACAAGTTCCAAAAACTTGTTGGCGACTCTTTTACTTTAGTTTCCTTCCCTTTGGACGCCACCATACTTAAGTGTATGATCGCAGTGGGACTCAAGTGTGGGATTCTTGAAATATTCCATACAGGATCGCCGGCGCTAGGGGAACGTTTGGGCACTGGTAACCGGCATGGGTAAGGATAAGGATGGCTGACGGAAAAGGGGGAAAGGTGGCAGTGACTGGTTTTTTTTAAAGCTGTTTTTAATAAATTAAACCATTAATTAATTAGATGATGGACCCCACTTAACGAACACTAACATATTATGTTAAGTGGTACCAAAATCTGTATTTTGAAATTTTGATAGGTTCCAAAATAAAATTTAAGTTTAGATGGATATTGTAGACACCTAAAAATTCTCCCCAAAACGAAACCCAAATTTTAGATGAACAACCTTTCACCGCCACCATTTTTCGGGTTGAGTATATAATCCTTGGAGTGCTTAAATCTATATTTAATCCCAATACATTTCATAAAACAACCCAATTCCTAGCCCATTTTGCTAAATTATAACTTACTTTCCACTTTTCGTGTCTACATCACAAAATCGAGAGAAACTGATTTTGTGGCCCTAAAACTTTAATTTAATTATTATTTATTTGGATAGGCCTTTTAATAAGGTTTATAACGTTATATCATAAGCCCCATTCCGATTTAAAACGAAGAAAATATGAGCAAAACACTAAACTCGGCCAAAAATGACACCCTTTTCACTAAAACGGCCATATCATAAAATATACAAAATAATTTGACCATATTATTACTGGGTTAGAAAGTAAACTTGATAATATTTTCATCGATATATTATGTACCTTATTCCGAGTTACGGATCAAAAGTTATCATAGTTTTAAAAACACGTGAAAACAAGAAAATACCGCGCATGACGGTGTTGTGCACTATGTCACGGTGTCAAGAATCATGTCACAAAACACAAGCCGTAACACGACATTCAATTGGATTTTTTTGCGACCCTTTTTCACTTCTAGGGTTTCGTGCTTCACCCCTCATATTTTCTCTATAAATACCCTGGTGATTTCCTCAATTTCCGGGGCACTAAAAATCGTTCTCTTTCTCCCTACACCAAAAATCATTATCTTTTCTCTTAGCCTAAATACTTGCCTCCCTATTCACATATAATATTTCCCCTAAGCTCTCCAAGTAGTCCATACAACACCCGAATTTCTATACTTAAACCAAGGCGTGAAACGTAGAATAATTGACTCAGGGTTTGGACCAAATCTACTCTACTTTTAATTTAATTTAATTATTTCAATTTGATTTATATTTTTATTGAAGTTACTAATAATTTATTCATGGTGTAACAATGTAAAGGAAGCGCGGAATGTGAGTAATTAATTTACTTAATTTCTTTTATTTTTATTTTATATTGTTAGTATCATGATTAGGGTTATTATTAAGATTTGATTTGACTAACGATATTATGGTTAAATTGTTTCCAATGTTATTATTTATTTTACTGTTATTATTGATCACTATATTGCATGTTAATTTAAAGGGAGTATGTAATTGAATATAACGCCAAATAAGATAATTTGGACAACCGGTTTAGGTTCCTTTTTAATCTTACGGAGTATCGTTTAATTAAGTGATCACGGTACTTTAGAATTATATGTTGCATTAATATTAAACCAATTTAGAATAATAATATTTTGGAGAAAATTTAATATTTTGTTTGTATGCCATTGAGATCGCACGACATACTTTTCACAATAAGAATCGAGTAGAGGCCAATACGGGCGAATGTGACTCCATGACTCACTTCGTACCATCATCCCCGATCCTCCTTTTGTGGTTTTGAAGCATATGGAGTTAGTAATCTCAAGGTTTATGAATGGGGTGTAACCTTCACAAGTCAATCGTTGTTCCCTTTTGTTGTCCCTTATTCGTGGTTGTCTTAAATGATTCGTGAACGGTTTACAAGTTCCTTAAAAACTTGTTGGCGGCTCCTTTTTCCGTGTCCCTAATCGTATAATGTTAATTCCCACTTCCTATAAGTGTCAAGCATATTCACAACATGCATAACGTAGGCGCGCTTCGAACGACGCCTACAGGTACCAAAAGTCAACAGATGCCTTTTTTGAGTTACCAAAAGTCAAAATTTCCTTAACATTAGAAAAATTGGTAAACTAATCTCAACTTTAACGTGTTCGCTTAAAATATTCTCAACTTCGGAATATTTTTAAATAATCCGAACTTTGGGGTGTAATCGCTTTCTTTAGTCCCCAACCGCTTACTAACTTGTTAAAACAGGTTTTTTTGGACATGTGGCATCATGTGATTAGTTAATTTTTTTTTATAAAAATGTTTAAAATAAAAATATTTAAATAAAAGAAAAGAAAAACAACCCAGCACCTTCGATCCACCCACGAACCACCTTCCCCATCACCACCATGGAGGCCATAAATCTCTTCCAAACCCACGCATACCGTAGACCAAAATTCCATCCCCTGCACCGATCAGCTACCCTTCTCAGCGCCCCTTCCCCTAAACCACCAAACCTGCCCACCCTAAAATCCCTAAAACCTACCTCTGATCCCCACCGCAAAAAAAATAAAAAAAAAAAACCCAAATGACCCTCCCTCACCATCGGGGCGTTGGTCGTTTGGTGGTTTATTGCGGCGGGGAAGTCGATTTTAGGGATTTGGGGGCTTTTAGGTGGGCAGGTTTGGGGGAATGTGTGTCGGGAAGGGCGGTGCCACTGCGGGAGAGGGGGTGTGGTGACGATCGGCGACCTAGCTGGGTTGGGTTATGGGAGGTCGCTGTCGAAAACCACTGGTGGTTGGGGTTGTGTTATTGGTGGCACTTGGGGTTTTTTTTTTTAAGTTTTTTGTATTTATTTTTAACACTTAAACCAATCACGTATGGACATGTATCAGTTAAACCAAAAATAATTACCTCTTTACCAGGTAACTGGTCATTAAGGACCATTTTGAGCGAATACACCACAAAGTTTGGATTATTTATAATTATAAATAATTCAGAGTTAGGATTATTTTAAGCAAATAAGTGAAAATTTGGGATTATTTTCACCAATAATTTTCTTTAAAATTATGGCAAACAAAGCATAATATATTGAAAAAGAAATTTTATACATAACATTATTTATAACGTTTGTTAGCTTTGTTGAAAACTCTCTATATCATTAATTCAATTCAATAAAGCAAATGTATGCACTCACGCTAAAGCTATAATAAAAGACACCCTCCCAAAAACATAAAATCAATCAAAGCTTTAATCTAAAAGCGTAAAATAAAATTAAAAATTGAAAATTTTTATTATAAATCACCAACAATTAAGCTACACTCGTATTTATTTTTATTGTTATTTGAGAACCTATACTCGCAATTTTGGAGGATTAAGGGAGTAACCGACTATGTATTGACAATAGGACATGCAAGCTATTCTTGCTTTACGTACGTATCACCCTCTCTTAACTCTAATTAAAAGACTATGTATTGACTATTGACAATAGGACATGCACGCTATTCTTGCATTACGTATGTATATCCTCTCTTAACTCTAATTAATTTTCGTTTCGTCATGACAACAAAAATCATACTACCTATTTTATACTATCGTTATTAGTTTATTATAGCCATATTCTTATCATCTTGAGTTTGTTATACTCACTATAAAAAATAAAAATAAAAATGCACAACTAACATATCCTCTCTCATATCCTCAGTTTATTGGGTCTTACTGGACCAATGTTCCCTGATCCGTTTGGTCAATGTTTATTAAGTATATTTTCATAATCACTGTTAAATTTGTATAACTTAATATGTTACATAATTAGGGGATGTTCTCTTACGTTGAAATTCAAGTCGTGAGTGATAGAAGGAGCAAGAAGCATCCACTGGAGTCCCCTGGTTCGTAAATTTACCGCAACGGGGAGGGCATTGTGAAAGATCTTTCAGAGAAAGATTTTCCACTTAGGAAGTATAGGTAAAGCCCAAATCTTACGCCAATGAAGAGGATGGATCGAAGGTAAAGTTTGAGGAAACCAATCTGAGGAACTAACCAATCGAGCATAAATAGATTTGGTAGAGAGAACCCCATCCTTAGTGAACTTCCAGTAAACGTAGTCATCCATAAGCCGCGGGGGTCTTTCAAGACTGAGGATCTTGGCCGCAATGGAAGGAGGGAATAAAGTATGTATCAAAGTGGAATCCCAATCATTAGAGTTGGGATCCAAAAGAGAAGACACCAGAGTCGGTAAAACCGAACCAGCAATGGACTCCTTGAAGTGCACAGTTGAGTTAGGCACCCAAGAATCCTGAAGAATACAAACTTGAGAACCATTCCCAATCTTCCAGATCAAACCCAATTGTAAAGTTTGAAAACCATGCAAAATGCTACGACACCCCCATGATGGAGTGGAAATACGACCTCTAGAATTTTGGAGTAAAAGCGCAGGGTATTTAGCCTTAAGAACCTGTGATAATAGAACTTGCGGATTATGCATAATCCGCCAAGCCTGCTTAGCTAGAAGAGCAGAATTGAAACAACCCAGATGTCGAATACCCAAGCCCCCCATTCCTTTAGGACAAAACAGTATCGACGACGGGGTAAGGGCTAAACCGTTGGACTGGTTGCTTGACTTCCACCAAAATCTGATTAGGAGATTATTTATTTTGTTGATGATGGAAGACGGAATTCGAAATACCGATAACACATGATTAATAGAAGCGACTAAAACAGAGTTAATCACCACTAACTTAGCTGCCGCTGAAAGATGCAGTGGGGCAAAATTTGTCAGGCGAGTTGTTATCTTATCTACCAGAGGTTGAAAAGCTTTACATTTGCTTCTCCCAATATCAACAGGAAGATCCAAATAAAAACAGAAGAGAATCGTCTGCAAAAAGGAGATGGGAGATGGAAGGAGCATAACGAGAAATCTTAACTCCTTTGAAGAGACAATCTCTTTCTGCTCGTCTAATCATGGCCGAAAAAACCTCCATGCAAAGAACAAACAAGTAGGACGAAAGAGGATCTCCCTGACGAAGACCGCATCTAGGATGGAAGACTTTTGTTAGATTGCCATTAACAAGAATCTGATATGAAACTGAAGAAACACATTGTTGAATGATATGAATCCAGTAGGGAGGGAAACCAAACCACTGAAGAACTTGCCACAAAAACTGCCAATTAACCCTATCATAAGCCTTGTTCATATCAAGTTTGAGAGCAGCAGACATTGAACGACCTCGTGATCGATTCATATATGATAGTACTTCATGAGCCAACAGACTATTATCTGACATAAGCTGGCCGAGAACAAAGGCATTCTGGCAATTTGAAATAAGGGAAGGCAATATTTGCCGTAGCCGAGAAGAGAGGCATTTGGCTATGCATTTGTAGAGAACATTGCATAAACCTATAGGCCGAAATTGGGAAGGTAGTTGAGGATGATCAGTCTTTGGAATGAGAACTATAAATGTGCGATTCCAGTCCTTGAGCATATGACCATGTAAAAAGAAATACTGAACAACATTAATCACCGAGGGCCCAACAACAGTCCAGTGAGATTTGAAAAAAGCCGATGAAAAACCATCAGGACCTGGAGATTTTGAGTCGTCAATCTAAACATATCTCTCTTCATTTCTGCACCCGAAAAAGGTTGCATAAGATTCAATCTATTCTCTTCTGAAAGCTGGGGAAGATCCAGGGAAGACCAATCAAAATCAGGAATTGGAGTATGAGATTGTTGGCCTTTGTAAAGAGTCGAAAAGTAATCGTGAATAATAGTTAGAATTTGACTTTAATCATGTATCCAATCACCGGAGGAATCCTGTAAACCCCAAATTGCATTTTTCCGACGTCGAGCTTGAACATGAGAGAACAGTAGATGAGAGTGAGAATCCCCCAAAGCATCCCATTTGACTTTAGCCCGCTGTTTCCAATAGAGATAGGCTGTCTGAGAGTGCCTGATTTTCTCTTCTCTTAAAGAAAGAAAAAGGTGTCGGTGAAGCTTGGATTCTAGATCCTGGGCTAACGGAGATAGGGATTCATGTAATTCTTTCCAATTAATACCCCATAATTTCCTGTGAGTAACACACCATTTAAGTAGTTTTGAACGTAAGTTTTCCAATTTTCGAGAAATGGTGTACATAGGTGAACCCGAGAAATCCAAAGCCCAAGATAGAGTAATAATAGAAGCCACCTCTTTGGAGAGTAGACACCAATTATCAATCCTGTAAGGTTTGCGACCCTCCGAATTTTTGTTCTCTCGGAGAATAATAGCAGCATGATCTGAAAATAGAATCGGCTGGTGCAGGAGAGAAGCCTCTGGATGATGTAGTAACCAATTTTGTGAAGCATAAGCTTTATCTAGACGTTCGAAAGTTGGTTGTCCAGTATTATGACCATTAGTCCAAGTAAAGGTAGGACCGGTAAAAGGAATATCTATAAGTCTAGAATCAAGCTTCCATTCCTGAAACTCCATTTGACCAACGATTGTTGCAGAACCGCCTACCTTGTCCGTACTATATTCTACTTGATTAAAATCTCCTAACAAAACTACATTTTGATATCTTTGTAAAATAGAAGAAATATCAGCCCAAATAAAAGAACGTCCCGAAAGATGAGGCGAACCGTACACAAACATAATATATTTTATTTCATCATTCGGAGAACTTATTTTACACAAAATTACATTCGGAGAGACTACGATAGGAACTACCCTAAGCGGGGCAAACCAAAAAACAACCAACCCGCCACTAAGACCCTAAGAGTCTACACCACAAAAACCATCAAACCTAAGTGAAGCTAGTTTATTTACAGCAACATCTACAACTACTAAAGTTTCCATAATAAACATGATATCCACAGAAATGGAGCGGACTAGTGAGTTCAAGTACGAAACTTTAGGGGAGTCCGCTGTTCCAATACCCCTACAGTTCCAAGCATCGATGTTCATAGATCTGCTGGTGACTCTTGATGGTGAGCCATCGAACCTTTGTTGGAAGGGGAAGTCGCAGAAGAGCTTGAAAATGGCTGACCCTTTGAACCCTTGCGCTTTTTCATTTGTTTAAGACAAGCCAAACAACCTGACGAAGGAATAGAAGGAGCCTCGTCTGGTTTAGATGAAGCAGCAGGACACTTAGACGAGGAATTCTTGACCCAGCTCCAAATCTTCTCTTTACCACGAGTCATTCGAAGCCGAAAAGGAATTTCAACCTTACCCATCTCATTAGCAGAAGAAAGAGATGAGTTATCAGATTTTGGAGGACTCGAATTATCAGAACCCGCTGGAGTCGAGGGTGCAAACTGTGGAGACCAATCCATTGGCGTCGGATCTTCAGATACAGCAATCGAAGTAATCGAAATTTCAGCCGAGGAATCACCAATAGATGGTGGAGAATGAGAGAATTCAAAACCCCCAGAAGATGAGTCTGGTAAGTAACCTGAGCTCTCAGCAGTGTTTGTTGGAAAAGAGGATCCAAGAGATGGGGATGGGGATTCGATCTAGCGTTGCTGCGAATTAGGAGGAGTAGGAGAATTAGCAGCCATCCAATTACTTGGGCCTGGCCCAAAAGGATCTGGGGACGTTGGTCCAGTAGATCACATTTTTCTCAATTGCCCCTTTACTCGGCGTCTCTGGGTTTGTGGACCTTTGGGTATTCGAATTACAGATTATGATAGTTCTTTCCATCAGTGGTTTATCTCATTATTGCTATCTGTCATATCTCTTAAGAACTGGGACGGTTTGGATTCAATTTTGTCCTCCACTTGGGCAATTTGGATTCTCCGAAACAACATCCGTTTCAGACAGGCGATCTGGTCCCCGCACGTTGTTTTCCAGATTGCTCAAGATTGTATTAATCGCAGTTTAGCGGCCAGGGATTTGACTTCTTTAGATTCCTCACCTCCTCCAGGATTTGGTTATCAGTCGTGCTCTTTTCATCTTGTAGGGAATAGTTATATTCCTCCCACTGTTGCTCTCGTTGTAGATGGGGCTTGGAACTCACACGATTGTCGAGCAGGCGTTGGTTGGTGTTTTTACTCTTTAGATTCTGATATTTGTCTAGGTGGTGCAGCTCGAGCCTGCTTTGCTCTTTCAGCTATACAAGCAGAACTACTAGCCTGTCTGATTGGGTTAAGAATGGCTCTTCGGCGTGGTTTTTCTCAGGTTCTTGTACGTACGGATTGTCAGTTATCTGTCTCTATTCTGCGAAACTCCTCTTCGGACATTTCTACTATTTGGATTCAGCATCAAGTTCGTCACATCCTTTCTTCATTCCAAGTATGTGTCATTCAGAAAGTTCCTAGAGATGGTGTTCGTTCCGCTCATCTTCTAGCTACTTCGGCTAGGCGTCGTCAGTTTGTTAGTTATTTTTTCTAGGTTACTTTTCGTTTTGAGTTGTCCTTTGTCCAAAAAAAAAAAAAAAAACATATCCTCTCTCTTTACCATAAACCACAACCTTCATTTTTGAAGGAATATTCTTTGCTCCAAGGGTGTACACACCCAATGCAACGTTGTCATACCTACATAAACTCATTGAACTCAATTCACACTTATATAACTAAACTTCCCAGTGCAACGTCATCATACCTACATATCACATATTTATATTTAGGGTCAGGATTTTATATATATATATATATATATATATATATATATATATATATATATATATAGGGGAGGGATCCGATAAGAACCCACATCTATGTAAGAACCCAACCTTATATAAGAACTAATATCAACCGTAGGATTAGATTGAAATAAAAGGTTAAGATTATTAGAGATTATATTAGAGAGTAATGGCATTCTTGTAAATATCAAAACATTCCACCTATATAACATAATCCCTAATTTTCTCTCTTCAAAATCCCTAAAACTATGAGAAAATACGAAACTTTCTCTCTCCTACTCCTAGAAATCTTCATTTTTGCTGCAATTTGAAAGAAATTTTTATGATTTTCGGTCAAATTCTCTTGCAGTTTGTCAAATTAAGGTATGATTTGTTTGATTATTTTTGTTTGTTCGAAATTTTTTTTACCATTCGACTTTTTGTCCGTAAAATTTTCCAGATGGATGCAATTATAGTGAAATGTAGTTAACTAGTTATTATCAGATCGAATTTTGTTTGTTTGTTCGATTTTTATGAAAATTTGAGAAAAATATTTAGATTATGGTATAATGGCATTGCTCTTGGGGAGAAGGAATGAAGGATGGAAAGTTAAGGTTTCCTATTGTTTTGCAATGGAAAATGAAGTTCATTTGTGGCCGTGGGAAAATAAAATGAATTAAGTATGAGTGTTGGAGAAGTTGTACAAGCCATAAATAAATTTTTGAGTAAGGAGATAATTACATATTTACAATAGCTAAGCCATGTGGAAGCTAGAAGGTTTTTTTTAGTTTTTAGAACATAAGTAAAAGAATCTTAGAACACAGGGATCGGAGAAAAAATTTAGAATATTGGAAAAAAAAAATTAGAACATAAGTAGACTAAATTTATAACATAGGAAAATATACTTTAGAACATAAGTAGACTAATTTAGAACATAGGAAAATAAACTTTAGAACATAAGTAGACTAAAAAAAATTAGAACATAGCAAAATAAATTTAGAACATAGACAAAAGAATTTAGAACATAGGTAAAAGAATATTTAGATTTTAGAACATAGGAAAAAATTTAGAACATATGGAGAAAAAATTTAGAACATTGGAAAAAAAAAACTTTAGAAAATAAGTAGACTAAATTTAGAACATAGGAAAATATACTTCAGAACATAAGTAGACTAATTTAGAACATAGGAAAATAAACTTTAGAACATAAGTAGACTAAAAAAAATTAGAACATTGGAAAATAAATTTAGAACATAGACAAAAGAATATTTAGATATAGAACATAGGAAAAAAAAAAAAACTTTAGAACATATGTAGACTAAATTTAGAACATAGGAAAATAAACTTTAGAACATAAGTAGACTAAATTTAGGACATAGGAAAATAAACTTTAGAACATAAGTAGACTAAATTTAGAACATAGGAGAAAACTCAAAGTATAAGAATAAAATTTAGAACATAAAGAAAGCTCACAGTATAAGAATAAAATTTAGAACATAAGTTGAAAAAAAAATAAGAACATAGTAAAAACATAGGGGAAATTAGAACATAGGATAAATCATAGAAAAATGAGATTAAAAAGGTTTAAATCATAGGAAGTAGGTGATAAAAACATAAGTGAAAAAACTTTCGCACATAGGTAGAAGAAATTTAGAACATTAGAAAAATAAAATTAGAACATTAGTTAAGAACATAGGATAAAAATTTAACACATATGAAGAAAATAAAAATTTAGAACTTAGTAAATAATTAGAACATAAAAAAAAATTAGAACATAGACACAAAAAACTTAGAACATAAAGAAAAAAATTAAAACATAGGCAGAAAAAATTTAGAACATAGAAAAAATATTAGAACATAAGAAAATTTAGAACATAAGAAAAATTTAGAATATGAGAAACAAATTAAGAACATAAGAAAAATTTAGAACATCCAAAAAAAATTTAGAACATACAGAAAAATTTAGAACATATAAGAAAAAAAATTTAGAACATAGAGAAAAAAACTTAGAACATAAGAAAAATTTAGAACATGGGAAAAAAAATTTAGAACATGAGAAAAATTTTAGAACATATAGAAAAAAAAAAAGTTAAAACATATAAATTTGGAACATAGAAAAAAAATTTAGAACATAGGCTGAAAAATTTAGAATGTAAGAAAAAAGATTTCGAACATAGGAAAAAAAATTTAGAACATAAGAAATTTTTTAAATCATAGGTTTAGTTCATAGGGAACATAAAATTGGAGTATATGTTTAGAACAGAGAAAATAATTTAGACATAATATAAAAATTTAGAACATAGACAAAAAATAATTAGAACATAGGAAAAAAAATAAACATATTTTAGAACATAGGAAGAGAATTTAAAGCATAGTATAGGTTAAATTTCAAATTGGAGTACTCTATTTTTTTTTTTTTTACAATGTATGGTAAAACCTATTAGCTCAAGTGGTAGAGCATTATGCAAATGCATAAGGGATGTAGGTTCGATTCCTACATAGGTTGTGTCTCTAAAAAAAAAGAAATCAAATTAGCACTAAGTATCCAAAAAAAATTAAACATTGGGTTTAAATGATCAATTACTATGGAAATTACGTTACAACTAAACTTTTGTGCAAAACTCACGTCGTTACATTAGACAAATGAGCCTACGTGGGATTCGAACCCACATCTTTTGTGCATTTGCACAATGCTCTCTCATTGAGCTAGTAGGCTAATGTATATAAAACATTCGAACTTAAAAAATTAGTAAACAAGTGAGCAAAGCATTTGTACTATGTTGCTCTACAAAGCTATTTGAGACTACATACAAGCCAAAGTGAGGGATTTGTAGTTTCATACCCTTAAGCATGAAGCAACACATTCTCTGCA